GTGTGCCATGCTCTCATTCAGAGATCGTGGGCATAACATATCCTCACAAGAGCTTGTATAACTGATTTGTTGAGCGATACCGTGCACCAAATGTATATGGTCGTGAATGGCGACTAACAACTTACAGTTACCCATAATTATTCAGATGTTCCCCTTTCAAAAATAATTGACTTTTACGAGAGAGTCCCTGTTTGTTATGCATCGCACTTATGATATCCGTAACAATACTACACGGGTAATCTGTTTGTTATGCATCGCACTTCTGATACCCGTAACAATACTACACGGGTAATCTGTTTGTTATGCATCGCACTCCTGATACCCGTAACAATACTACACGGGTAATCTGTTTGTTATGCATCGCACTTCTGATACCCGTAACAATACTACACGGGTAATCTGTTTGTTATGCATCGCACTTCTGATACCCGTAACAATACTACACGGGTAATCTGTTTGCTATGCATCGTACTTCTGATACCCGTAACAATACTATACGGGTAATCTGTTTGTTATGCATCGCACTTCTGATACCCGTAACAATACTATACGGGTAATCTGTTTGTTATGCATCGCACTTCTGATACCCGTAACAATACTACACGGGTAATCTGTTTGTTATGCATCGCACTTCTGATACCCGTAACAATACTACACGGGTAATCTGTTACAATAATACTGGATAACTGTAAGGATACAATCCTACGTTAAACTAGAAGGGACTTCCAGGCCACTAACCACATATGCAAAACACTTTACTAACACCTCTAACCTATTAAATTGACCCCCTATATCGTTGTCTGAAGAACAAGCCACTTGAAAATTCATCCATAAATTGTTGATCTGGAAATGATTTTGTTTGATACTGCCTTAAATTATCATAATTATGATAGATGATGGCCACCCAGCTCTGCTACACGTATTATCGATTTAATTCCAGGATTTGGTTTCAAAAACAAAATATAATTGCAATTTGCTCATAAAAAAACTTGACGTGGCAACCAATGGCAGTAATTGGATAAAATACATCTTAGGAAGAAGAGGTTCCTATGTAGTAATGATGAGAAGCCGTATTTAGTGTTTGTAGGTTGCTGCTAGGCGACGCGAGTTTCTGAAGCCGGAAGTAATGTTGGTATTTAGCAGCGCCCAGATGGATTATACATCACTGTCTTCTTTAGGTCAGTTGGAAACCTGATCAATTGACAGTAGAGTTTGAGATATGAGACGAAGATAATAGGTCGCTACGTCACAGCTACCGTGCACATCAAGTTTAACACTCTGCCTGGATATCACTTTTGATGAGTTTCTCAAAATAGTGAAAGTCATTATTTGGCTTCATTGAGAATAGGTGCTTCCGACGAAGTTGCTGGACACAGATACGCGGTGAAAATCGTGCATGCTGAATCCCCCGTCAGCGTTGGATCATTCCCAGTAATTCGTGAATGTGTGCGAAAACTTTTTCTGGTGCCGTGGAATAACTCAGAATTGGGTAAAGGAACAGAACGGTAACAGTTACTCTAGATGACATGATGTAGACATCATCAAATTCTAAAGTCTCCAAAAGTCGTCGTCGGAGCCGATATAAACATGGCATTTATGATAATGGAAATGGTAATACTCGGTACTTTAATGTCGACCATGCTTCTAGTGACAACTCTTGGTAACTTGCTCGTAATTTTAGCTTTTATTACAGACAAACCAATACGCACAGTTAGTAACTTTTACTTATTAAACTTAGCGATTGCTGACTTGTTGATCGGTTGTTTCTGCATTCCAGTGTATATACCGTACATTCTTACCGGACGATGGACGGCTGGCAGACCACTGTGTGTGGTGTGGCTTGTTGTGGATTACGTGGTGTGTACAGCATCCACGTTGAACATTATGCTGATTAGCTGGGACCGTTACATGCTGGTAACTCGTGGTCTCGGTCACCAGGGATCCCAAACCACTAAGAAGGGCGTTATTCGAATGGTAATGGTTTGGATGTTAGCATTCCTTCTCTATGGACCAGCTATAATATTCTGGGAATATATCGCCGGTGAACGCGTGGTACCGGACGATCAGTGTTATGTTGAATTTTACGACAATTTTCCTTTCAAATTGACGGCAGCAATTATGGAGTTCCTGACACCGCTCATCAGTATCTCTTATTTCAACCTGAGTATATATCTCAATATTAGATGGCGGTCAAGAGGCGGATTCCTGAACAGTGAAAAACAGACCAATTGTTTTAGTTTGTGTCGATCCGCTAAAATTAGTCCCGCACAACGACAATCGGGTAGCAATGTGCATCCAAGTACCATTTCTCACCACTCGGCTCTCTCACGCGACAAAAAAACTGCCAAGTCCCTTGCTATATTGGTAGGTGTTTTCTCTCTATGTTGGACACTGTACACGTTTCTATCTTTGATTATTTCATTGTGTCAAGACTGTGTGAATTCCACGCTCTATGAAATATCATTTTGGTTACTTTGGTTGAACTCTACACTGAACCCATTTATTTACCAATGGTGCCATAAACGTTTCCAGTACGTTTTTCGTAGAATTCTCTGTTCTTGGCAAAAACTCAGGGGAAGGAACATCGAAAATGCTTCTTCGGATAACTCAAATTAAACAATGAAATCGGAGATGGACTTACTTTACTCATTATGCATGTTATTACACTGTGTATTGCAGGTATCCTATTTTGTTATATGTGACATCGGGTATTTTATGTACTAATCTGTGTCAATGATTAATTACGACCTTGTTGTCAAATCGTTGTCAAGAAAATAATTTAATTTGTTACACTGCTATACCAATAGACTGCAGTGAGTGGTTCGCCTGACATCTTTCAAATCATTATTTGTAACTGACATAATTGAAAAAAAAAAACTCAATTACACATAGTGAAATGTACATGTAGCTTTATTGTGTTCAAACGGTAAATTAAACTATTATTTAAAATTTATTTGTTTTCTACGATGCAAATATTGTATTACGTGAAACATTTATATGTAAGCGTCAGATACGGGATACACTTCAGTTAAATTTTTAAAATATAGTTCAGTTACCGAATTCCCGCGTAATTGCCATGACAATTTTAGTTTCCACTATTGATTGACCTTGTAGCAGCGTGTCAGCCAGAAGTTAAACAGTTTGAGTCATTCAATAGGAAGTTTAATAATCATGTATTTCGTACGTGTTCGCGGTGAAAGTCTTTTATATGTCGGCAACATACAATGTTCAAATACCGTGAGATCGTGTGTGGCTAACAAGATATAAATACCAGCATCGATCATTCAACACACAAACCTATGTCATATAGTGAATTCTCAGGAGCTTAGTAAATAATTCTCACCACTCTCATTCACGTCCCAATGTTCCAATTGCAATTCCAAATATTTGTACTTCTTAAATAACAAGGTCTAAAATTGAGAGATACAATTTCATTATAGAACACGATAAGGTTGGTTTGGCTGACAATCACAAATTCACTGTAGTGGTCAATATAGTTTAGTTACTATAGCGATCGGTTTACAGCTTGATATAAAAAAAACATCTAGATATATCACACATATGTCGCCAGTCTGGAGACATTGAATCACTAACTGTATGTACATGTAAATGTATTATTATATTGAAGTACTTAAGACATTTGTTTGTAACTATGCTGATAATACGGGGAATGTGGAATAACTCGAACAATAATTCAATCACCATCAACGTTCTGACTCCGTTTACTGATTCATAAATATGTATATCTTTTCTTCATTGTAGACATATTTCATATATTCGTTTACTCCCCAGTAGAAGCGGTCGGACTTGGTCCTAAACCGACCCTAGCATACCACCTACCAACTGCCTTCCAATACACACACAGTGCCGCTAATGATTTAGGCAGTGAGTCCGGTCGCTAATGAATCGGTTCGTAGATGGTCAATCAATTGGCCTGGCATGAATTAGTCCGTATACGGTCAGAATTTGACCGGTCATTAGTCAGCCTGTCGAATAGTCAGTCTGGTAATTTGTCTGATTTATGTGGTTGGTTTTAACGATCAATATGGCAAAGCTATTATGTTGGTAAAGAAGTTCAAAACGGACACATTGGTTGTAATCATACTAAGGTTTTGAATATTAATATTGGAGTCGGATTTTTGTTATAAAAAGAAGAACAAACTCTCGAGGGATGTTTCTCGCTGTCCACGGTATTTGTTTTTTCTGTGCAGTATGGTGGCATTTATTTAGTATATCATATACAAGTTGGTAGAGCATTGCCGATATGGGTATTGAATACGTGTGCTGGGGGTCGAAAGATCACTCTTTACACTGCGTGGCGGCTTATCTGATCACGTGATCGACTGGTAGGATGTGGTCCTGCGGTATTCTTGAACGAACATTGTCATTACTACGTTTTTCATTGTATTGTATTATCCGTTTGTAGACAACTTGACATTTGGGTGTTAGAGCTGGTTCCTCATAACACGGTGATCATTTTGCACTCGCTTTAATTTCCATGTATTTTGAAGACTCAAATTCTGTAGAGCACGTTGTTCGTGTGTTTACATTTAATAGACTTTCACGAACTGACAGAGCAAATAACAAGTAATACGGCAGTACAGATTTTTTTAGTCCACGTTCGGACGTAGTTTGTGCTAAACAATCATAAAATTTCTGGCATTTATGGATGGATTTCGTTCAAACTTGGTGCATATATTAGACATTACAGGTTCCTGATGCACATCATTTATTTTTCAGATCGGATTCAAAATGGCTGTCTGGCGGCCATTTTGTTTTAATGAATGGGCTTCTAGACCCATATCTCCGACTTGTTTTGATTGATAATATTTTCAAATTTTAAATATTCATTATACATCATGTCATAGATAAACAGATATATTGGTTTGACGATCCTATTCCAAATGTTGGTCATTTTTGTGCTAAAAAGTCATCAAATATCAAGCATGTCTGGCATTTATGGGTGGATTTCGTTCAAACTTGGTACATACATTAGACATTATGGGTTCTTGATGCTCGTCATATTATTTTTCAGATTGGATTCAAAATGGCTGACTGGCAGTCATTTTGTTTTAATGATTGGGCTTCTAGAGCCATATCTCTTAAATGCTTTGACTTATTATATTTAAATTGTATATATTCATTATACATCACGTTATATATATATATACATGTATTCAAAATGGCTGATTTTGAATGCTGTTCCAGAGCAATATCTCTCAATATGGTCAAGTACTTGTTTGACGATCAGATACAAATGTCAATCATTTTAATGTTAAAAAATCATATTTCTGACATGGTTATATTCCAGCTATATTACTATAAACTAAACTATATATCTTAAATAAATTTAATAACTAACGGGGACTGTGCCATGCATGGCTTGTTAAATCTATTTCAATGTAGATCACGCGTACTAAAGAAAGTGTATAGTAAATCTTACACAAAGTTGTGCCAACGACCCGACACAAACTACAACACACACAAACAAATATGTATATCTATTTTTATTGCCATATTGAGGTTGGCCAAGCAACACATCATGATGAATTGCATTCTCACACATCGCCCTCAACGCGCATTTGAGTATTGCACCCATAGACAGGCAGACATTAACCTCTAAGCTGTGCCCCAGCACAGTCAAACACGCAGTGATTTGTAAGTAATGGAAATAGCTATTAGTTTTAATCTATCTGAAGATAAAATCCAGCACTGTATTAGAGCAGTGCTCCAGGCTACTATCACTAATCGAATAAATTGGTCACAGTATAATGTCACCAGATAGGCAATTAACCGTGACCCGAATCAGTTGAATTTGACCTTTGTTAACAGGCTTATCATGTTGCCAATTAGGGCTACAAATAACTTATTTTCAGTTTTTATCAGATTACGGCGATATCTTGCGTGAACATGACTGTGCTGCATTCTAAATTCACTGCAATTCCACGAGAATTCGGTGCACATTTTCAATCAATTGGCGCCATCCACGTATTAACATATAAATACAAATTTAAAATTTCACAGAAAATTTTAACTGGTCGAAAGGAAGTAGTCAAATTTTAATACCACAGTAATTTATACACAAATGAAATATATTTCAATATTAGAGTCAACAATAGAAAACAACGTGTTTAGGTGTACTTTGCAAGACATCAAATCTGCATAAATACATTATTTCATCAACGAATGCCATGCAATTACGTCTTGCATTTTTTTCACAATAGTTTGAGTACATTAATGACGTCACTGACACGTCGAATCTACCGGTTTTGGGTACAGCACTACAAACACCGGCGTCATTATTGACGCCACTCCGAACATAGCTGGGCACTGATGTAACCACAAAAAAATGAATCCATCGGTGACTGGGTGAATGATACAGTGAGTCAGTAAACAGTGGAGGTTGTTGGCTAACAAAATTGGAAGTCAGTGAACGCTAACGATATGGGGACTCAAAGATGATGAAGATTTGGGGGATTTTGAGAATGGTGAGGGGAATGTCAGGAAATGTCGAGCGTCAATGGACCGTGAAGAATGTTAGCTAGTTATATTAGGAGTCAGTGGTATGTGGAGTGTGATGGCTAACAATATGGGGGGTGTCAGTGAACAGTGGAGGTTGTGAGCTAACATTATGGGGGGTCAGGGAACAGTGGAGG